GCTTTTCAAGGTGCAGAATGTTGCCCTTCCCGTGAGCATCCACTCATGGCCTTTAGAGGCCCAGATGCTGCTGTCTTTGTGTGCAACAGTCGTAGCCTGCACTCCTCGCAGCTGCATGGCACAACACTGCTACTCAACTGCTGGGAGTATTTCTTTGATTAAACTGTGCTCTTTGCCTTTCTTCCAGGTTTACACTGTTGGTGGGCTGTTTGGTAAAGCCACTGATGATTTCTCAGACACAGGGAAGCTAATAGAGAAGACAACATTTGGTAAGAAACTGATTTTATGTGGTTTGTTTTTTTTTTTAAATACAGAACACCAAACAGCACACTAACTGCAAAGCATTTGACCAGGTGAATTGCACAACAAAAGCTGCTCCTTACATGGTTTCTGTTTGTTATTGATGTTGTAGTCCACTTGTTCTAAATATAACACAATATAAAATATAAAAGCCAGTATAAGTGCTGGCCACAGTCATTGCTACTGAGTTGGTCAAGGCCCAGATCTCTGTAAATCACACTTGGTGATAGCAGTTAAAAGCTTTCATTGAATGAAACTCTTCAAACACCCGATAAGAGAAACTGGAACATCGACATCTTGAAATCAATTAAGCAGAGTAACTCTTCCCTTTGCAGTCCAGTGCTGTGCTGCTCCATGTGCAGCCAGAGAAAGTGGCTCTGCTGAGGCCACCTCTCATCAGCCCCTTTTGATGTGACTGCCCAAGGGACAGCAATACCTCGGTGGCACGTTTCAGGCTGCTCTCTCTTTCCAGTTTCTGGGTGGATAATTGAGACTTTGTTTCTGCCTTAATATTTGCAGATCATATCACAAGGGAGAAGCTGGAACGGATTCTCGCTGTCATTCAAGGGACAAATCACAAGGCCCTGCTGATGTGGGTATCCAAGGGGGAAATGAGCTGACCTGATCCCACTGCCATTTGCTGGTCTTTAAAACAAAGGAGAGGGTTTTGTTTCCCATAATCGAAGTCTTTAAAGGTTGGAATGCTTGCCAGGGGCAGAGAGGAGTTACTGGGAGTGCTCTGGCGAGAGGTTGCAGTTAAGTATCCTTGTATCCGGAAATCTCCAGCTGTTTTTAGACCGATTTGCTACATTAGGGCTGACAAAAATATCTTGCACACATGACCAGGTACCTCCCTCCCAAACTGTGCTACACTACTGACAGTATTAAAATATATGCAAAAACTCAACAGAGAGGCAGTTTCAAGAACAAAAACTGCAGCTCTGCTTTGTTGGGGGTGGAGATATTTTGAATCCCATTGGAGAGAAGTACTAAATGTCTGTTCTGCCCCCTTTTTTGTTTTTCCAGGTATTCTAACATTGATATGAAAACACAAGAGGCTTATGAGCTGGCTGTCAAAGGGTTGATTCGTCCCATGGATAAAAGCCCCCCGATAATCACAGCGATCCGATGCCTCCAGTTTGCACTTCCAGAATTCCAGCTAGGTAGGACTGGCCCAGAATGTCCTGGGGAACTCTGTGTTATGGCAAATAAGTTGGTAAAATTCAGTTTCTGAATTGTGATTTAATGCCAAATAACTTGGTGAGAATTTCTCATCAACTTGTAACTGCTAATCCCTGCAGAAAATTTGAAGGATTTGTAGTTTCCAAAATCACCAGAGCATCTCCTCTTTTGATGAACTCTTCAGGGTGGCTGAAAGATTCTTTGGTAGGGGAAGATCTGGAATCTTCACAGTACCGAAGCTGCTCTTGTAATTCCATCCAGTTGTATACCCATTTAATTTCCCTGCCAGTTCCAGATCAAAGTCTGAGGCCAGAAAATTTGCATCGTGAATACCTAAAGGACAAAATTCTTCTTATCCCAATGATTCAGTGCAATGCATTTCAGTGCTGGGTTATTGGGGTTTTTTAAAGCATGGTTTGCTTTCCTGCATCCAGTCTCCTTCTCCTCACAAACTATTTGCCTTATTAAAAAAGTGCCTTTTATTTTCACCTTTGAAATACCTAAATTTCTACATTATTCTCTTGTATTTATGGGCTTGTTTTCCTAAAGTATTCACTCTGGGTGAGGCTAAGACACCCTGCAGTATTCCAGAAAATCATAATCCACCCATGCTGTATCTTAAATAGTGCCTTCTGCCAAACCAGTTCTCTCAGCCTAACTGCAAGTGATGTCTGGATTTACAAAGTCTGAGCTCGTGTCAAAGCTTTGCTGCTTCTGAAGGAATCTCTCTGTCCTCCTAGAAATCCACTGCTTGCATGAGACCCAGCAGTACCTCCGGAAGGTGGTTCACGAGATCGGCCTGGAGCTGAAATCCTCCGCCGTGTGCACACAAGTGCGGAGAACGCGCGACGGGGTTTTCACGCTGGACGATGCCCTGCCCAGAACCCAGTGGGACCTGCGGAGTATCCAGGATGCCATTCGGAACTGTCGGCTCAAAGTGGAAACAGAGATAGAGAAAACACTGGGACATCGGGATAACAGTCCTGTTCATCAGCTGGATGTGCAGACGGCCCACGGTGCGGACAGCTGAGAGTGCTGAGGGGGGACATCCATGAGCAATCCCTGCAGCAATCCCTGATGGACAGCAGAAGGAAAGAGGTTAATTGCAGTTCACTTCCACCCTTTCCTTGAGATGACTTTAATCAGAGGCTTTCTTTTTTTTCCCAGTGACAGGCTGTATCAGTTTTTTGAAAGCATCACAAACAGTTCATTAACGGGAGGTAGCTGTGCCAAAATTCCTGTTGACTTTGAGAACATTAGGTTGCTAAGGGATATAAAAGCCCATTCCCAAATTGTTTAGCAGCAGGAAATAGCGTCTCAGAGAGCTGTATTCCCTTGACTGCACAGATTTGTTCCTTGCAACTGGCAGCATAACTTATCTACTATATGGATTTTATTTTCCCTCTGTTGCCTTAGAGTGTTTTCTTTCCATTAGCCCTGCTTTCAGACGCAAGACTCAAGATCAGGCTAAATGAGGGATGTGCAGGAGAAAACAGCTTACCCAAAGCAATGCAAGGAAATGGTTATATCCAGAATAGGTGTGTGTGATGAGAAATGGCTTGTAATGGGGACTGATGCACAGGAGACACAAGAAATAAAACTGCAAGTGACCTAAAGGGGAAGAAGAGGCTGGTTCTTGGCTCAGTACTCATCCATGAATACACTGACTCATAAAAAATCCCAGTATGTGCTACTTTTTTTGAATTCTTTTTTTTTTCCCTGAGGAGCCAAGGGTGTTGAGGGGTCTCTGGTATCCTGCTCTGCAGCAGCCCTGTGCAGACAGCATGTCCTGCCCTTTGGTGAAACTCTGTGAGCTCTGTGACACCACTTGGTCTCTGTCAGCTCGTTATAGAGCTGGGCCTAACTTAGCAGAAACACACTTTCTAAATTTAAGTTAAAAATGTGAATTACACTTACCATTATTGCACTCAGTGTTCTTCCAGCTCTACACTTAGTTAGCGAGTTTGGAGGTTTATTTATAGAAAGCAGATCTGTTCTGTTCCTCTCCTGGACTTGGGCAGAAGCCAGCGTATTTCATCCTCCAGGTGACAGCCATGAAGGTACAAGAGTAGCTCTGGGAAGGGCAGTTGGAGGGGCCACGATGAAGTACCTCAATGGCAACTGTGCAGTCCTGTCCTGAAGTATTGCAGGAATCATTTAGTCCCTGGAATCTCTCAGTGGTGGGTTTCCCTGCACAGAGCAGCCGGAAGAGCCGTGGAACGCAGCTGCCACCGCGTGGCAGAGCCACCGTGCCAGCAGCAGGGACTCCCCAAGGACATTCTGCTCTTACTTCATGTTGTACTGTGGGTGTTTATCCTCCATGGACAAGGGAGTGGGATCAGGGCACCTTCCCCAGGCACTGTGCCCTGTGCTACCTGAAGTGTAACCCCTGTGCAGGACACTTGCACAGCTACAGCTGCAGGTTTTAGTCCCAGTGCTGCTACACAGATGGGAAGAAAACACTTCTCACTCCTTAAATAACCTTCAGTAGCTTTCCAGTGGGCTATACTTCATCCCCACAGCTCACACCTAGCACAAGCTGAAGAATTCCCATACATACTCCCCATTGCAAAACCAAATTCCAGTTGCTCGTGCCATCGCCAGAGGAACATTTTGGTTGGAACACTCCAGGCCGAACCAGTTCTTCCACACACAAAATACCAGCCAAAATAGCAGCGTTAATAACAAAGTTTGCATTTCCCAGTTCTTGCCTTCTTGTGACTTTTTTCCTCCCCTTAAAACTACTCCAAAACATGGGAATTTTCCACCCTTGGCAGAGGAGTGTGGGATATACCTGTAACCATTCCAAGAGCCCATTCTGATCTGGCCACAGTAAATACACTGCTCAGCTGCACATCAGCAGAGACCTGCTTGGATGAATCGTGGAATACACAGGCTGGCTCTGCCTCTGCTCGAGACCTCTCCCCACAGCTTTTGAGGCAAAACAAGATACTAATTAGTGATGTTTCTGTGCCAGGTCCAGAGCCAAGAGCACAAAAACAATTCTGTTCTCAGCAGCAGCCTTGTGACTGGTTCCTAGTCTCCAATCACAACAAAGATTAATTTGATTCAGATTTGGAAATAACGAGCAGACTGCAGCATGTGTCTGACTGGAGACTAGAGAGGAAACTCACTGGGCAAGAAGGTCCTAGAAAGTAGAAATGGGGAGAAGTACATCAAGCCTGAGTGAAAAAAGGACAAGGGATCTGCAGTCACCAGAGCACTTCATCACTTAGAACTGCCCAAGGCAGCCAAATTTAGTCTGTGCAGTCACCCTAACACTGACATTGAAACACTCGTGCTCCCAACATCATCACTGCCCAGGACAGCACTCGCTCTCAGTGACTCTGCACTTGGAGCCGAGAAAGGTGGTTCTGCACCTGCCCATTCCTGGGCAGTGCTGCCACCCAGTCGTCATGGACAGAAAACATCTCAATAACAGATGTTAGAGTTGTCTGAGAATGGTTTTAGAATTTGTTCCCAGGTTCATGTAATGTTTTAAAGGCTCTTAAAGTGAATTACTGAGAAATGTGAAGGCTGCTTTATTCAGATTGGACAATTAACACAACTTCACATTTTGCCATTTTACTACAGAAATTATACAAAACCTCCAGATACCAGAGCAGGTAAGTACAAAAATGCAGAACACCCAGAGTTCTCCAGATTTGACCATACAACAAAACCCCCAAAACACCACCACTTCAGCCCTCCCTCCGTGCTTCTGAGGGTTTTCCTTTCAAAGCAGCTATTACATTGGACATTTGTATGTCCTCACTTCCTCTATCCATTCAGTAACCAAACAGCCCCAGGATGTAGCAGGGAAACAAAGGCTTCATAGGAAGGGTCTCAACATCAACCTGAGTTACAACCTTACCAATTAAAAAAATAAAAATCTCGTTGATCAGGTAGTAGATGAATTTAACCCAAGACCTATATCCCTTTCTCAACAGCAGAAAACAGTTGATAGATTCAACAACTTTCATGTTCCAAAGATTCTTAGGAACAAGCCTGTTAAACCACACCTGTGGCAATGCTACATTTAAATTAAAAATCCTTCAGAGGGCACCTTCTGCCTGTTCCAAACCAGAATGACACCAACACGTGTGCCCAGTGACAGTCACTTCTGCAGGATGTGGCAGCCTCCAGGTTCAGGACTAGTCACTGAGCTCCAAGTCATATTCAGGGTAGAGCTGTTTTGTAGTGACCCCTCGGATAACAGCTAGGAAGAAAAATACCATTGCTCTTATTAAAAATAGATCAGATCAGTAAGAAAAGTTGTGTTTTCCTGCCCTAACTACCCCACACAACCTCCCACAGCCAAGAAACCAACCCAAGGTTTTGCAGCTGTGCTGCCTGCTTGTCTCAACACTTTGCTTTTTTTAAGCATATGAAGAAGAAAACTGACAAAAATTGGTAAGACTTTTCAAATTTTGGTAATCCATAGCAGAGACTAAAATACTGGTAAATAACAATTATTTCCCATGTTCAGTCCTGAAAACACGCCAAGAAAACAACAACAGAAGCATTTGTGCTTGCACAATGATTGAGTAATACAAGCCTAGAGTCTGTAACACAAGCTCTGCCTCCGTGGTGCAGCAGCTTCTCTCTGTGTCTGTATGAAAACACCAACTAAGGAGTTCTCCAACAGCTTTCCCCTTCCTTACCCAGCTTGCCCAGCAGCATCTGCCCAGCATCTTTGATTTCATTGTACTCATGGAGCAGAGAGATGTGCTTCTCCAGTTCCTCCAGGCTGTAGCCTCTGTAAAATAACACCAGAAAGGTCACAAATGGCACAGAGGGATTGGGGGTTCCTGCTGCTGTGGGAGACACCAAAGCCTGGCACCTCAAAAGCAGAAACTGAAGGCAGCAAGTGCAGTTGCTGCAAGTCATAAACATCAAAGCTCCAAACGAGCAGATTATTTTGAAAAAACCCTTATTTTGAGGGGGTTTTTTTGCCACATCAAGACAATTCACTCAAGTTCTCAGAATCAAGTAGAAACAGGAGAAGGCTGTGGTGAGTTCCATTTATATGTATCTCTAATCTCTAGCTAGGGAAAAAAAATTAAGAATCACAGAATCATTGAATCATTAAGGTTGGAAAATACCTTTGAGATCAAGTCTAACCTTTGACCAAACACCACCATATTAACTAGACCAGAGCACTGAGTGCCACGTTCAGTCATCTCTTGAACACCTCCAGGGATGGTGACTCCACCACCTCCCTGGGCAGCCCCTTCCAATGCCTGACAATCCCTTCAGTGAAGAAATTCTTCCTGATGTCCAACCTGAACCTTCCCTGGCACAGCTTGAGGCCATTTCCTCTTGTCCTGTCACTAAAAGGTCTGTTTACCCTTAAGGATAAACCAAAAAGAGTTTTGCAACGGCCTTTGTTGTTTTGCCATTTCCATCCTATGCACTATACTTATCTTGGAAAATATCACTCCTTCACAACAAACAACAAATGGCTGAAATTATCTGTTCCCAGTTAACATGTAATTACCTCAGGAACATACAGGATAAAGCTAAAATCCTCTTATGCAAGGTCCTAGTAAAACATGCTTTGCCTTACTAAATAAATTGGAAAGAATTCCCTCAGGTTCCATCACTCACAACAACACTGGAACCAACATTGCACCATAACAACCTCATCATACAAGGTCAGCTCTCAGCTCCAATTCCTGTTTTAAAAACAAAGATAATTCAGGCAACACAGTGAACATTGAGCTTGCCAAGGACATACTCGGACGATAATTGTGCAATTTCCTGGTCTAGAGCAAGGTCTTTCCTTTTCAGCTCTTCAATGTCACACCTCAGGGCTGCTTCGCTGGCTCCATTAGGTTGGAAGGAGCTTGAAGATGGGATCTGTAGAGCACAGAAGACATTTAGGAGCAACTCAGCCCTGGATAAGACACTACAGTGCTGTGGGCACGGATTGGAAAATAGTGTGTGTGCCGCTGGATAAAAGAGGAGAAAAAAAGGAAAAAAAATATCCCCTGGGCAGGGAGTGGGGAGCTTAAGCAAGACAGGGATCGGTCTATGTAGCATTAGGCTGCTTCATATCACATCCTACAGCACTCTGGAGATTTAGAGCGTGAAGTGAAAATAAAAAATCAAACTTCGGTTTTTACAAGCTCCCAGGAGGGGAGCTAAACTGCGGGGCCGGCACTAACTCAGGGAACGAGCGATTTCTCCCTCCAAGGAAAAACACTCCCCGCTGCGCGGGGCCGTGCGAGCGGCCGCCGTGGGGAGAGGACAGAGGACCCACCGCCCCCGCCCGGCGCGGACTCACCGGCGCCCTGAACCCGGCCGTGCCGCTCCGCCGGCCGCCGCCCGAGGCCCTGGCAAAGCAGAAGGAGCCGCGTCAGGGGCCGGGCACCGCCGCCTCGGCGGGGACGCGGCCCAGTAGGGAAGGCGAGGGGGCAGCGGGGAACCGGTTCGTACCTCCTGGGCAGGGCCCGCGGCGGCGGGTGGCGGGGCGGGCTGCGGCCGGTGCTCGGCGGGACCCGCTCGGCCAGCGCTGAGGGCTCCGGGCTGAGGGCTCCGGGTTCGCGCCTCCCGCCTCACGGGCGCGGGGGCGCCGCGGGGCACGCCGGGAACTGTAGTCCTGCTGCCGAGGAGCACGCCGGGAGTTGTAGTCCCCTGTCACGGCCCGGCTGCAGGTGACATTAGATGTGGCAGTACACAATCGTCCTTGTTATAGTCAAAGAGACCAAAAATCTTTCACATTTTAGATAAAATTTATTTATGACAAATGAGCAAAGCAGCGCTGGGCAGCCGGGGAGTCTCCGCTCCACCAACGGTCCGCGAGTTTAGAGTTAAGAATCCGCCTCATATATATTTTGTCATTTCCTCCTTTTCAGTAGGCTCCTCCTTGTTTTAGACGTCATTAGTCCTTTCTACGCAGACTCCGTCCTGTTGCTAGGGGGTGGGTTCTTCTTTTTAGGTGGTTTTGGGAGGAAGGCGGTAGTTCTTCCTCTCATTACCGTTGTTTGAACTTGGTACTTGCGCCTGTACCTTTTGTCCTTCTTCTGTAACTCTATGCATTTCCTCCTTATAAGTACATTTAAGGTTTATAGCTAACATGACAGGATATAGCTTGCCATGGTAACATAATATTGCGGTTTGACATTTTGCAATCTAAGTGAATCATGGACTACAACATTACAAATTTTATTTGATCAGCAAATTACCTGTCTTTGCCTTTATTTTGTTGGACAAGGGATGTAATTCCAGTTGCTGCCCCTGCTGCTCCCAGACCAAGGAGCATGGCAATAGTTATGGCAGTAAGTGGTTCTCGTTTTTGTATTCTGTGTTTATTACCATCCCAATGTTCAAGGACCGATTCTTTTGAATGGTAAAGGATTCGGGGTATTACTGTTATCTGTATACAAAATTCCTTGCTTTCGTTAAATATTTGTAAAGACAAGCAGGGGGTTAAACCGGTCTCTGAACATATACCACCATCCCCCTTCGCCAGGTATAGCCCTCTTGTTGTTTGTTTTATTAAGTCTCAGCATTTTCGAGCCACATAAGGTGTCTCTGGCTAGAGGTACTTTTCTTATGCATGTCCCATGTCCGCTAATGTGCTGCATGGTGAGCCCAATTTTCTTTTCATTCCATTTACATTGTCCGGGATTGTCCTCTTCACTTAGGTTAAAAGTAACATTTAGCCCTATTCCTTCATATAAGGGTGGTCTTACATCATAGCACAACTAACAACTTAGAGTAGCATTTGGGTTTGTATGATTAAGAGTTTGGTATGCAGTTTGCACTAATTTCCACAAAGGATTAGTCTCAACAAGTTCTGAGGTTGTAATGTTCTCGGTTGTGACCGTAATGTTACTGGTTACATTATTTTTGATTATTCTATCTTTCAATGCTTTATTTGGTCCCACCTGCTAGGGTTCTTATTGAGGTTTTCCTTTTCTAATCAAAATTAAACCCCCTCTATCTGTTCCAGGTTCCCAGTATCTGACTCCCCAAGTCTTTCCTATTAGCCACCCTGGGTCTTCTGGTTGCATTACCTGGAGGATTATATGAGTACAATTACTATATCCTATGGATCCCCCAGACAAATCCACTTGTGGATGCTTGCAGCCTGGTGGTCCCCATGTCGTTGTTAGGTATTTATCTCGGACAGTAGGGACCCAGGCAGAAGCAATAGTGACACACTTCCAATATGCACAATAATATTGATTACGAGAGTTACAATACCCCTTTCCTGGATTAGATGCAGGACAAAAATAATAAGGCTTCTGGTTTAAGCAACGTTGTAGAGGTACCATTTGGCACAGTGTAACAGAGAAGCTAGGAGGTCCTGCTGTAAGATTTCGCCCAATTATTTTTTGATCGCCCAGTCTGGCAAGGGTCCATTCAAAAGGCTGGTGTGTTTCGCTTCCAATTGCCTGTGTTATATATATTAAACTTATGATCACTGGAACTTTACTCATTTTTGCAAATTGTAATTTAGTTTCCAGTTTGTCCCGGTGGTATTGGCAAAACAATTTACAGATTTCTGTTTCAGCCCGTTGTCCCCTAGTAGGTATCGGGTTATCTCGGCATCGCATACAATAAGGTTGTCTTTTAACTGAAACACAGGACCACTCTTTATTACACTGTAAACATTTGCAAACAACCCAACCTAAATGTCCAGAAGTAGGGTGTTTTATGCAAGGTATCCCCCAGATGTTTTCTATTCTGGGGGTCTCAGATACTTCTGTTTCTATTTCACAACACAAAGGGAAGACGTGAGGTGTTCCCGTTAACTTGTATAGTCCAGCCCCTCCTGTTTGATCAGGTATCCTTTCTCTACTCCAAGGTGCAAAATGTACCTCTCGTAAAGTGTTTCCAGGAGGTATTCAGAACCATTGATATAAACTATTTCTTACTTCCCTTCTGGGATGACTGATCCGCTGGCCTTGTCCTCTTTATCTTCATTCGGAGATCTCCCAGTTCAGACATTACAGCCCATTCTGTGGGAGGCGGTTCTACTGGTCCCTTGACCCGAGTTGCATGAGTCCAACCTCTCTCGGCAGTACGGATTGCTGTGTCTGTGGTAAGAAGAACAACAAAAGGTCTTTCCCAACGAGGGGTCAATGAGGATTCTTTCCAGGTTTTGATTAATACTTGATCTCCAGGCTGAATTTTATGTATAGATATGTCTAAGGGAGGTCGCTGAGTTACTAGTCCTTTCTTTCTCAATTCCTGTCTCCTCTTCATTAATTCAATTATATATTCTCTTAAAAGGGCATCTTCTACTTCTACAATCTACAATGGATTTTCCATTGGGGTTCCGAAATCATATGGCATTCCATACATCATTTCAAATGGTGAAATTCCCATGTCAGTGCGTGGTTGGGTTCAGATGTATAATAAGGCCAATGGCAAACACTTTATTCAATTCATTTTAGTTTCAATCATTAATTTAGTTTCTTTATTTCTCCATTCATCCGTTCTACTTTACCAGAACTTTGTGGATGCCAAGGAGTATGATATTCCCACTTGGTTCCAAAAAGCTCTACTGTTTCTTTAATTATTTTAGAAGTAAAATGCGGTCCTCTATCCAAATCTACCAATGCCATGGTACCATACCTTGGAATGATTTCTTCTAATAAAATTTTGATCACGGTCTTGGCCGTACATCGTGCTACTGGGAAAGCTTCTACAAAGCAGGTGAGATGATCTACCAACACTAGTAGGTATCAATATCTTCCTACTTTAGGTAGCTCAGTAAAATCTGTTTGTACTTTCTCAAAAGGAAACTCACACTCGTTTCCCTTCTTTCGTGCCTTACGCCCTCGCGGCCTATAAGAACCGCACTACCAGAAGGTCCACACTCCCAAAGCACGTCTCAATCGTCTGCACTCCGGGAATCCTTAATCCCCGACCGAACGGAACCGCTTATAAATACTTACTCACTCCTGAGTCGTCGCTCGGATCTTACGGGGAACTGCAGTGTTTTCCTTTGCTCATCCGCCTTAGATCTCGGTCGGATATCCAGAATCTGTACCGCAGAAGGCCCTCTCCAGGACCGTCTGGAAATGGAGTCCCGCAGCACAGAGAGTCTGGATCCAAATAGTTATAGTCAAAGAGACCAAAAATCTTTCACATTTTAGATAAAATTTATTTATGACAAATGAGCAAAGCAGCGCTGGGCGGCCGGGGAGTCTGCGCTCCACCGACGGCCCGCGAGTTTAGAGCCCGCCTCATATATATTTTGTCATTTCCTCCTTTTTATTAGGCTCCTCCTTGTTTTGGACGTCATTAGTCCTTTCTACGCAGACTCCGTCCTGTTGCTAGGGGGTGGGTTCTTCTTTTTAGGTGGTCTTGGGATGAAGGCGGCAGGTCTTCCTCTCATTACCGTTGGTTGAACTTGGTGCTTGCGCCTGCGCATCGCAGGGGCTGAACCGGCCCGGCTCCTCCCGGCGTTTGCTCGGTGTTATCGGGGCACTGCAGCAGCGGGACGGCGCCGGGTGTCACACGGCAGCCCAGGGTGTCTCCAGGGCGGAGGGTGTCACACCAGCGAGGGTGTCCCGGAGAAGGGGCGTCACCGCGGGGTGTCCCGTGTTGTGAGGGTGTCACCGCGGGGTGTCCCGGGTGTCACCGCGGGTGTCCCGGGGCGGAGCGGGGCCGGCCCGGGGGCGGAGCCGCCCCCGCCCCCGCCGCTCCCGCCGGGCTGACGTGGCCCGGGCGCGGGGCGGACATGGCGGACGGCAGCAGGCAGAGCCGGTTGGCTGCGGCCAAGAAGAAGGTGAGGGACCGGGGGGGACGGGACAGGACACGACATGTCACCGCACCACACGGCGGGGCTGGGGCGGCCGCGTTGCGCGAGCCCCGCGCGGGTCGGAGCCCCGGCAGGGCCGGGCCGGCCCGGGCCGAGCGCGGCCTCCCCGGAGGGGCGCGGGCCGGGCCGCCGCCCCCTCGCTCCGGGCCGGGCCGCGGAGGGGCCGCGGGAGCCCGCGGGTGTCGAGGCTGCGGCCCGGCCTTCCCGGCGGGCGGTCGGGGCGAGGCCGGGGCCGGGCGGCCGCGGGGCTGTGCGGGCTGCTGTGCGGGAGTCCCGTGTCCCCTCTCGTCCTCCCCCGCCTCCTTTTTAAATTATTTTTTCATGGTTTTTTCCCTTATTTTTTTTCCCTCGGGGCGGCCCGGCCCTGTCCGTCCCGGCCGTGTTAAAGTCACAGGAACGTGTGTGTGTTCTGGCAAAGTGTCCTGGAGCAGTTCAGGCTTCCATTTTGAAATGCTCCCAGTGGTGGGATCCTGCTCCGTCCCCCGCTGCCCCGCCGTGCCCTGCCCGGCCGGCGGCTCGGTATTTACAGCGATAACCCCGGGACCGGCCCGTTCGGGGCTCAGGTGCGCAGGAATTGCACAGAAACGCTGCCGGGACTCGAGTTACAGCTTATCAGACCGGCACGTCCTGAGCCAAGTAGCTGTGATTAAAAAATCGTTTGTAGATATTTTCTCCCCTTAGTTGTTGCAGTGTCTGTGCTGATGTGTTGCCTGCCTGTGGGGATTGCAGTCTTCCTTCATAAAATCTTACGTGCAGCAGCAGATCTTACTGTCAGGCAGTGCCTTTTCGCATTGCATGCAGGATTAATTGCCTTTTATTAATTTTTCCTTATTGCTCCAAAAATAGTGCTTTT